TGTTCTGCAGAGGACACCTTTCCCTAAGGCTTAGTGGAAGGCAAGGGGGACTCCTTGAGCTCGTCCAGTGCCTACTGGCTAGCAGCTTTCCCTGGCTCCAGACACTTTCCCTAGAAGATTTCCAGTGGAAGGCTGCCAGCAATGTACCTCCTTATTAATGGCCTCCCTCAGCACTCCCTTGGGTGGCTGTATCCCAAGTTCCAAGGTATAGCATCTTCCTATGGACACCTTCTCCTGACACCCTGGAAGGCACATTCCCAGCAAGCTGAACCATCAAGGATCTCTGGGACCTTTCTGAGATCCAGGGGACCATGGCTGTGCCCTCTCTGAAGTCTTAATTCCAGCTCAAGTGGGGGAGGAAAGAGGGATCTTCCTTGGGTACCATATCTCAGCTCTAAGGGGAAGTGGCTGCTACCTAGAGCTGCAATTCCTGGATTCTTTGAGATTTCTGCCACTACTCCAATTTTATTAGTAATTCTTCATATTAGACTTTTTTCTGTTTGAATTATTATGTGGTTTCTATGTCTTGGTTAAACCCTGCAAATAGAACTTAGAGCAGAATGTTTGGTTTTCCACTAGTATGAAGAAAGGTACCCAGAAACATGGACCTATATAATTTTATGAGCATTGTTAGTGGTATAGCTTGATGCTCAAGGTCTTAGAAGGGATAGAATTGAAGGCTATGTGACAAGAAAGTCCAGGAGAAAAAGTATATGGATGAATCTCTGTTATGAAAGAACACAACCAGCAAAGATGTGCCATGTGGCTACTCAAAGACACCACACAACACAGGGGAGGTTGACAATGAGGAGGACAGAAGGATGGGCTTGGTGTCTCTCAGCAGCCGTCCTGTGGCTTACTTAATGGACCCATGAACAGAGGAGCCAGTTTGGTAGAGATGGAGGTTGTGTAGGTGAGTGATAGGATGGATTTCCCCCTTAGAAGGGTTATTTTGGCTAGTAGTACATCTGCATGCCTAATCTGCCTATAGCAGAAACCAACACTGAGTCCCCAATATGACACTGCTCCCGAGAGTAACTAGTCAGCCACCTGATGGCAGGGTGACTAAGTTGGTCCTCTTCCATCATAAAAGTATTAGAGCTTTGTCATCAGTGGAACTGAGACATATTCTAGGTTTGCCTTCTGTGCACATAGTGCTTCTGTCAGTACAGAATGCCTGGGATGTCTTATCTACCATCATGGCATTCTCTAAGCACTGCTTCAGACCCAGAAGCCCCCATCTTAGCAGAGCAAATATAGCAATGAGATAACACCCATGGAATTAATTGATCTCACCTTATACCCCATTAACTGTAAGTGGCTGGGCTAAATGCTCAGCTGAAGCTCCCTTTGGGAGACAGCACCTAGGCAGGACAGGGCTCTGTTTCACAGGTCTACTTTATGCTTTGAATCAGAGAAGATGATATAGTGCTGTCACTCCATGGCCAGAACACATGATTCTGAGGCTCAAGGAATGCAAATGGGAGTTGTGTCTCTTCTTACGCCTAGCAACCCACTCGCAGAAGTGATGCTTCAAACAGGGTGGTTTAATGTGGTTCCATGACCTTGAAAGATAAAAACCTGGTCATTGTAGGCTAACCACTGAATCAACACACAGAGAAAGGAGCTACTCAGGTGGCTTGAGGGATTGATCCTGCTCGTGAAGGAAGGAGTTGCAGCTACATAGTGAGGGGCAAGAAAGATTATTTCTGGAACCTATGGAATTCTCTGGGGTACACAGTCCATCCTTGCCCCATACTAAAGGTGAATGGAGAAGAACTGCAACCCAAACACAGGCAGTGCAATGAGGGCTCAGACCCTTCCGAAATCAAGGTTCTGACCATTTCACCATGTGGGAAGCCCTAGCCTGACTGAATAGCACAGAATGGTAGTGAATGAAGGAAATCATAGATGTTGGCCACGATCTCAAGGCCAATCACAAAAAAGAGGACAGTACCATTTTGCATATTTTCTCTACAGGAGGAATGTTGGGGGAGATTTGAGGTAGAGAGGAGCTGCCCATACAACAGGTCAATCTGACACCCACCCCCCAAGCCTCCATTGGACATACAGGAGCTGAAGGCATTGCAGGCCGCATCAGTAGGTGAGGTAATGGGTGGCCACAGAGGGAAGGTCTTATTGCCACAGGCTATTTCCTGAGAAGTTCCCAGGCTCCAGCACTGTGGTTTCCCCAGTAACTGTGTAGCAAGACATGATTAGAGGGAAAGTATGTACTCAGGGTTCTGAGAGAACTTTGTTCTCTCTGGCTCTGGGAGGTGTGGTGATACCTGGGCATTTTGGATGATGGTGACATGGGCAGTGGCAGTGTTAACCTCAGACCTGCCATCAGAGTCTCTGTTTCTTAGGGCTATAGCACCCAGAGATCCACAGCCACCTTAGGAAATAATGATTAGTGGGATCCAATTGTGACATCTTCACCAGGGAGGTTGTCCTCACCAGGGGATGAGGGTTCTAAGCTGTGAGGATGAGTAATTAGATACAGTATTTCAGGGAACCGCTCACTCCTTGACTTCTGGCCCATGCATTATGGTTTTGGGAGAAACAGCAATGTGTATTAGTTGCTGGTTTGAAGGTTAAACTGCACCCCATAGGAAAGTCCCCAACCTACAAGACTGGGCTCACAAGCAGCCATAGCTAAGGATTTCATAGGGTATTGCAATATTCTATGAAGTGATTAATTCTGGGACATGGGCTATATATTCTTTGGAGTTCAAACAGCAAAGTGGAGCCATTATGAATGCAGTAGAATGAAAAATTTATTATTATGGGGATTCCATGTAATAGGAGCCAGAGAAGAAGTCAGTGGAAAGCTGTTTCTCCATATCTTACGGCAGGCTTGAGACCGCTATAGGTCATGAAAGTGATCACAAGGAAAAACTGTCCATGTAGTAATTAGGGCAAGGACCAATGGATCTGTGTGTGATGGCTGATTTTATATATCAACTTGCTGTAGTACAGGGACCAGTTATATAATCAAACTTGAATCGAGATGTGATTGGCATTTACAGCCAGTTAATTTTAAGTAAAGGAGATTACCCTTAATCATGTGAGTGGGCCTCATCTAATCAGCTGAAAATCCTAAAAGCACAAAATGTGGTTTCCCAGAGAAAAAGAATTTCTACCTGTGGTCTGCAGCAGCAGCTCCTGCCTGCGTTTCCAGTTCTCCCACACAGACCAAGGGAACTCTGCCTGTTCCATTCTTGTGTGGATTCCAAGCAGCACTGAGCACAGAACTTGGCCCAGCGTGGATGCTCAATAAATATTTCCTGTATTGAAATGACATCCATCTGTCGAAGTCGGTGTGAACAGAGCTCTGCCTTGGGGCAGAGGCGGAAGCTGAGGGACCTAGGAGGGCCTTTCCTGTCCTTAGATCCTATGACAGTGAGTGGGAAGTGCTCCAGATTGTGAACGGGTTGTGGGGAGACAAAATGAGAAGGGAATCTGGGATCTATAAAATAAAATGGAACTTTTAGTGGGAGTGCGGGAATCAATGCGGCGTAGGGGGGAAATCCTGAAACGTGGGCTTTGTGAATTCTGCTTGTTGCTGTGAGAACTTTCATTAGCCCTTCTGATGGGCCAGGTGCTATCTACACACTTTCTAGACATTAACTCATGCCAGCTTCGTGACACTGTGTGAGATAAGTGCTGTGATGATCCCTGTCTCACAGATGTGGAAAGGGAAGGAGGAACAGAGGTGAAGTAGCTAGGAAATGATATATTTCTCCCCCTGGGGGCTCCTTCTCTGGGTAAGTCCCCTCTCCAAAGGCCAGTGGCCCTTTTGTCTATCATGTATTAATTCTAGCCCAAAGCTTTGTTGGATTCTATCTTCCTGAGTTTGCCAAGAAAGTCCCGAGGGGCCGAGCGAGCGAGTTTTTAGGACCCATGGTATGCTCTGCATCTGCCCTGGTGGTCTTCTGTGTGGGGACAGATTTCTGAGCAAATCTCTTTACTCTGAGTTGCAGAACTGGCTCTGTGGCCACATGTGCAATTCATAAAGTTTGCATTTTCCACAGGACTAGGTTTCCAGAGCATGTTGGCCTGTGCACTGCAAGCTTTCAAGAATCTCAGCTCAGAAATGCTGTCCACAGGTTGCTCAGATACATACATCTTCCACATGGCTGTGAAGTTTGGCATGGGTATTCTATTATGGCTCCATGATGTGATTTTGGAGCTTTATTTTATTATTATTCTTTTCCACGGGGATATTTTCTTGGAGGGTGGAATCTGGACCAACGCTCCTTTCTTCATCACTATTTCTCACTGACATCCCTGTTTGGCCTCTTTCTGTCATTTTTGACCCCATTTGCCACGTTAACTCACATCTTCCTATCCTGAAGGTTGGTCCTTGTGCAGTGCATGGAAATTAGAATGTGACCATAGAACACGATTTTGATCACTATAAATGTGCAGCCACCACATTAGTTTAAGAACTCTCTGTTTACATCAATTTTTTCTGAAACAAAATAAGTTTGACTTTAAGGCCAAGGCCTGGGCTTGTAAGATTTGATCTTGGCCTTTGTTGGGATCCCTGCTCTACAGTGAGCTGTGAAAGCTCCTCAAACAGCCTGCGCCATGTACTAGGATAGGTGTGTTGGTTCAGCTGGTGCTAGCCACACATAAGAACTCCTCGTCCAAACCAGTGAGGTTAGGACTGAACAGTTTTGCTACTTTTGTGCCCAGAGTGGACATCAGATGATTGCCAAGGCTGAGAGCTCTGGTTCTGGGCTGGGGAGGACTGTTATTTTCCTACCATATTCCTAGGACACTAGGCCTTGCCAGTAATGAAACCTTTGGGCCACCACCAACTCCTCTTCTAGGGGTTGTATTATGTTCCTTCCAAAATGGATATGTTAAAATCCTAACTTCTAGTACCTCAAAATGTGACCTCATTTGTAAATAGAGTCACTGTAGATGTAATTAGTTAAGATGAAGTCATGCTAGGGTACAATGGGCATTTAATTCTGGTGTCCTCACTACAGGAGGAGCGGAGACATGGAGACATATGGGGAGATGGCCATGGGACAGTGAAGGCAGAGACTGGAGTGATGTGTCTGCAAACCAAGGAAAACCAAAGGTTGCCATTTCCAGAAAAATACCAGAAGCTAGGAAGAGGTAAGAAGGGATTTCCCCACAGGTTTCAAAGGGACAAAGACCCTGTGGACACCTTGGACTTCTACCCTCTAGAATAGTGAGACAATACATTTCTGCTGTCTATGGCCCCTACTTTGGCAATTTGTTGTGGAAGGCCTAGGACTTGAATACACACTCCAGGTCCGGGTGCACAGCTTTCCTGTCCCCCAGTCACAGTCACACTGTACTCTCCAGGGGATCCTCCATCTTGCTTCTGTGGGTGCTCATGATATTGGGTGCCTTATTCAGAGAGTGAATACTGTACAGGCTATACTGACCCCAGACGCTTTGGTTCTGTTGACCATTCCGTCATTTCTTTCTATCACAATTCTGATTGAAGCAAAGCTACATAACCTGGTAAGTGAGCAGGGCCAGTCAGAATTTGGAGCCAACATCCCAATGCATCAATTTTCCTTTCTAGAGTGGAGGCTACTCTGCTACTCTAGAGGCCAAGCTGAGACCCTGGTTTGATGGAAGATATTTCTCAGAATGCTGATAGAGCAGGGCTCTCTGTGGGAAGTAGAAGACTGGGAAGAGTCAAAGGTTTGTGTAATGCAAACTCTTGCGTATGTTCATGGCACATGGCAGTCAGAGTTAGGACATGAGCTATAGGATACAGGAAACCAATAGACAGCTCTTGTTCTTTGTGTATACAGAGAATATGGGGGCATAACGTCTCACCCAGCCTTGCCCTCTGTGGGTTTAGGGAGTGGAGTTCTACGTTTTTTAGTTTTTCTATGCTTGATATTCTTTCCAAAAAGTCCCAACTTGGCATTTTCTCCACTACTTTGGCCTTGGGGCTCCATATCTGGCTGTCATTGCTTGTCTTTAGCAACATGCGCAAGGCCTTCTCACTCAGGCCTTGGTGAGAGATGGCTCTCAGACCACTTTTAAAAACGTATGGGTGTAGTTCTGGTTGTGCATCTGTCCCTGCTCTGGAGACTTGGATTTACACAGGGAGAACATAGGCTAAGAACAGATGAAATCCTAGGGCTTCTGGCAGGAAAAGAATTTCTTCAGTATGGCCCATGGGCCAATACAAATTGTAGTCCACAAACAAAGCTCCCAGTAAGAGAAATAAATCTGGAGCCCCAGCTCTGAGAGATTCAGTCCTAGAACATTGGTCTTATAAAAAATATTTATTGAGCAGTTACTGAGCACCAATACCATGCACTAAGAAAACAGTGATGAACAAATCTTATCTAAACCCTCCCCTCCCCTTCCCAGTTTTCGTACAACAAGATTACAAGGAGAGAATAAGTAGGAAGGCCAGGCAGGAATTCTCACGCTGGAAGGATTAGAAACAAATTTGGAAATGCAGTGTGCTAGGTTAGGGCACATGACTCAGTATAGAAGCTATGCAAAGAACCTGGTGCTGGTGCCATGCTTTGGTGCAGGGCCGCCACTGGGGACAAGCTGAAGTCCTCTGTTAGGACTAGCTGGTAGACCTCACTGGAAGAACATTGACTAGACTCCCACATATTTCCAGTGAAGGGGATGAAATTAAGAGCTCCTCACCTAAACAGGATCTTCCAACAGGAGCTGAAGGGAAAAAGAGACATGTAACTGGAAAGGGAAGAGACAGAAAGAAAAAAGGCTAATGCTGGCCTCTTGGCTTCCATTCCACAAAGACCGTGGTCTCTGCGTGTGGTGGAGCAGGGCCTCTTGATGGGTGCCCTGGAAATGAGGGCCCACACAAAGGCCTGTCTTTTCAGCTGCCACCCAGAGTAAGAATCGTGCTATAGCTTCCTGGGGCCTCAAATGTGTGTCTTGGCGTTGGAAGGCCTACACCACTCTAGGTACTGACTTCTGACAATAGCCAAGGAGGAAATACAGGTCACAGACTGGTGTGCAGAGTGTCTGGAAGGCAGAGTCCCAAGAAGACTGGATCTTAATTTCATAGCAGGCTGTACTGTACTCTGAACACAGATCTTCTGACTGTGTGTGTCAAGTCTGGCTCTTAGACAGGAGCATTTCAGACCACACCTGTCAGCCGGCCTCTGCCATGTGCAGGTTTCTGTGGCCAACAGTCAACTGGAAGAATGCATGAACCCAGTGAGCCAACTTTCAGGAGGTTTGGGGCCTCTTCTCTTCACTGTAGAGGCTTCTGGCCTTTTACAAAAATGTTTGATTTCAGTGACCTGAGCCAATCGCTGACTTAGTTAGACATATGCAATGCTTAACACCCACCCACCCTCACACCCACCCTCACACCCACACACACACCAACACACACCCGTACACATACACACTTAGGTAAGAGCTTTGGATTCACTTTGCTCTGTGGGCTGTGTACTTTTGCAGACTGTTAATGGTCATTTCCCTACCTTGCTTATCTAATTGCCTTCCTAAGCCATTCTGTGAAGAACAGGATCTGGGTTTGGCTCTTTGCTCTTATATGTTAACACCAGCCAAAAGGATGTTCCTCACTTCCTGCTGGAGGCTGGGAATGTTTCTCCACTTTGAAGCCTTCATAGTTTGTTCTTTTTTATCAGTCATATGCGATTATTTCCATCTAAATGACTCACAGACAGGCTGTGGTAGTGGGAGGCGTGTGTGCAAACATGTATGTGTGTGTATGCGTGTGTGTTTTGAAGCTGGGATTCTGGAACAAAGGAGAGTAGTATGGAAGCACACGTGGTTTTGGTATAGAGTTGAACTTGGCATTAGATACTTCTTCTCATTCGCTAGGCCTTAATTGTGCATATTTTAATCAGAACACACTTCTGGCCCATGTGTATGAAATTTAACTTTGGCTCATCTAAAAGGGTTCTAAACTTGGAGATTTTAGCTGCAGAAAATGCCTTTTAAAACAAAACCTTTTGAGGTTCATGTGCAGTTGTAAGAAATAATAGAGATTTCCTCTGCATAATCTTATCCACTTTCCCTGACAACATCTTGTAAAACCACAGTAATGATTCATTTAAGATAAAGAACAGTTTCATCACAACCATGGCTTACTACACCAACTCGGTCCTCAACAACCACTACTCTGTTCTTCCTTTCTGTAATTTTGAAAGACGTGGTTTCCATCAGGCCAATCTTGAAAAAGTTGGCTTTATTCCTTGCTAGGATCCTAAGCCTCCTGCCATTTCAATAGAGTAACAAAATCTATTCCTTGTGCTGTTTACACGTTTAGCACTGTCCTATGATGGCCAGCTATACAGAATTTAGAGGCTGATTGTCTGGTATGAACCTGCTTATTAAAATTACTGGCTGTATGATCTAAGACCAGTTACTAACCCTCTCTGCCCCTTAGCCTTTTCATATGTGAAATTGTGATGCTGTCTACAGGACTCAGCTGATCAGGTTTTTAAGAACTAACCAAGTCAATAGATCTGAAGTACCAAGAACCATGATTCTCAGGTTTACATGTCATGCCAGTCACCTGGGTCTTATTAAAATGCAGTTTCTAATGTAGTAGGTGAGTCTTGAGGACTTCAATCAGGTACCTAGGTGCTACTGCTGGCCCACAGCCCACAATTTGAATAGTAGGGACTCAGCGTCTGACACCAATTGAGCTCAGTAACCATTGTTTATGTTTTCCAGCAGGAGCCTGCAGTTACGTAGGACAGAACCTGAAGCAGTGAGCCTGAGGCTCAGAGTGCAGACTCTGGAATGTCCTTGACTTTTCCAGGCCAAGGGCCAGAATGAACACCAAGAATGAGGCCAGCGGTCATCCCATAAAGAAAGGGGTGATAACTGCCGCTGGTACCACTGGTCCCAAGTATCTGTGCTCCCTTCTGTGGGAAAAGGCTGGCCCCAGGAAGTACTGGGCTTCCACATTTCTTCCTCTTCCACCTTCAGAACAGTACCTGTAGCCACTGCTACCATTCCTCCACCTGGGCGGGCAGGTGTGGCATCAAGAGTGGGAACAGCCCAGACAGGTGAAGGAAACAGGACCATCTGTCCATAGTTGGTCTGCTTTTCAAAAACCAAAAACAAAAACCAAAACATAGTTGGTCTGCTTTTAACCCACCAGTGACAGGCATGGGAAGGGTAGCCATGCCCTGGGAGCATCCCACAGTGGCCCCTCCTGGAGTCTCTGAGCTCACTTCACCACAGTTACTGAGCAAGCAGCCATGGGGAGGGTGAGCAGTCTGAGGTTTTTCTGAGAGAATTGGGGAGTCCATCTTCATGCATCAAATTCTACAGGAACATAGCCTTGTAAAGATGTACAGCGTGCACTGGTGCATGAAATTAGACTCTTGCCTTCCTCTCCTTCCTTGTCTTTATGAGAAGAAACCATTACCAATTCACAGGTATGCATGTTTTGAGTATGACATCCATGGGCACACCAGTAACTACTCATATATTCCAATAGTGAGGTCATAGTAGACATATTGTTACTACTTCAACTCACTTCCTTTCCCTTCTTAATAAATTCTGCACCTTTTTTCATACTGACATGGGGACTTGCCTCTTACTTCTTAAGAGCTACACACCACTCCATGAATATTCTACAGTATGCTTGAATCATGCTCTACCAGTGAACCATTTCTATCTAAATTTTTGCCTTTACAGGTTGCAGTGAACATCTAAGATGAATACCTGGAAGCAGAATTGCTAGTGCAAAGGGTAAGTGATGTGCATTTTTGATAGGTGTTGGCCTCCAAAAACACCATGCCCCCTACTATTTAGCTTCCTCTAATGGTGCAGATATGTCCACTTGACACACCTGCTGCTTTTTCATCCTTGCCAATCTGATGAGGAAAGATATCTTTTTTATTTTAAAATTTTAAAAATAATTAAAAACAATACAGAATATCAAAACAAGATGATAGATATCAGGTTAATAACCCTTAGTTATTGTGGGCTGATCAGGTCTGCAGTCTCCCAAATGAGTGGACTGTAAAGGCTTAAATAAATGAGACAAATGAAATGATTTCAGGGGTCCAGGAAGGTCCAACTCTCTTACTGAATTCGAGATTCTCTGGGTTAAGACCCAGACTTCCCTGGGCGGCCCATATTTATTAGGTTTTCAAATAAAGGAGGGGGATACTGAAGAAAATGCTGGAATCTGGGCAGGATTTGGGAAACCCTTTATGGAATTCTCCAAGTAATACTTATATTAATTTAGGAGACTTATGTGATCTCCAGGAAGGCCTTCACAGCAGAAGTGAGATGCCTGCAGCTGCAATATCCTCTTAGTTAATTGGGGTTGGAGCCAAATTTCCTCAGCTGTGGCCTTATCTTGTCCTTTGAGGCATTCCAACTTCACAGGCCAATACAGGCCTCAGCAGGGACCAGTGACTCATAGGGGTTCACTTAGTCATAGAGG